TCTACATCCTATAACTGAAAATTCCATAACTGGATTGCCCAATTCAAAAGAAAATACAGATATTATTTGGGACTTATTTTATTGCAAATGTCAATCAAATTGTGAAAGCTACAACTTGGTCAAAATATACTCAAGCACAAGTTAAATAAAAGATACTATGAAGGGAAAAGAAAAACACTAAAACTGCCTAGGCCCTGCCCAGTCTGCAAGGCACTAGGACCCTACCCGCCACCCGACTACCGCCTAGCAATTTTTAGAACATTGTGTAGAAAGCATGATGGCTATTGAAAAAACATGGTACTGGGATGATAGAAAAAGGTAAGAGGATTGTTTGGTAGAATGGGCATTCAAGGTCAAACATAATGCAAATGGTACCATAGAATGAAAGAATGCACTACTAGTAGCCAAAGGATTTATTCATAAAGCTACAAATGTTTTTTTAAAGGAAGACTTATGGTACCAATTATCAGACACTTTTGCTCCACCTGCCAAGATGAATTTCATCTATGTCTTATCCTCTTCAACAACCATCCAAGATCGGTATCTTTTTTAGTTTGTGTGAGGAATGTGATCCCTGGTGGAGGAAGTTTATATTGATAGTCTCGGAGTGCATGTGAACGAAAAAAAATCATTTTTTTTTCTTTTCATAAATAAAGTACAAAAAAGAAAAGAAAAAGATGTGCACGAGGTCACATCTGAAACTGTGCAGAGCAGCAACACACAGAGGATCAACTAGGAGCACTCTTTGCCGCTCTATCTTATTATTTGTGAGTAAAAATTAGGATAAATATACCATTTTCCTACACCATATCCATATTCTATAATATGGTATTAATTGAAACAATTTTCTAGTGCTTGGTTTGACGAGTTTCAAATAACTATGCCAAGTGTGAAAATTGGTTATAAACTAAGCTGTACTAGTCACACTGTACTTATTTTCCATTTTCAAGGTAATAAAGCAGCTCCTATTGTATTTTGTGATACTATTGTTGCTGGGAATGATGTTTAGGAGATGTTGAAAAACTCACTTTGTCAATGAATATGAGAAAGATCAAAGGGTTGGGAGAAATTAAATAACTTCTTTGTATAGAAGACGTTGCCCAGGAAAATGCATATTCCCAAACAAAATGCATCTTCTTCAAGATAGAGGGATGCTAGGTAAACCAGTTGATACTTAAAATGAACCAATCATGTTGATGAAAGGTATTAAAAGCTTAATGTAAAACTTATCTACCTTTTGGACACATATTCTGATATTGCTTAAGTTGTGAGTGTAGTCCGCCAGTTTATGCATGCACCCCATTCTCCCCATCCAGAGGTAGTTTTACATGTGATATTTGAACTATGCTCCTGGATAGGGATTTTTATTTTCAAAGAACGGACACTTAAAGGAAGTATGCAGGGGCACCTAGGAGGTTGTTTCTGTTGGTGATAGAAGGTATATTCTAAGCTACTACACCTTCATTGTGAACATTGTCAGCCAGAAACTAAGAAACAATCAATTGTTGGGATATCAAGTGCGAAAGCAGAAATTTCAGGTTATGGGTTACGGGACTTGTGAATTATTATTGGTTACACATATTGTTCAAGGAATTGAATTTTAAACAAGCTGTTCCTGTGAAATTTCATATGGGTAATAAGCCTTCAATCAGTATAACTCTCAATTCTACTGAGGATGATAAGACCAAAATTTATTGAATTTGTCTAGAATTGTATTAAGAAGAGATTAGATGCAATAATTATTCCTGCACTAGTTATCACGACAGGAGATATTAGATTCTCACAAAAAGCCTTCTGAAGTAAAGTTTTTCATTCAACTATAGGCAAATCACTGTTATTCAACCAATTTTTTTGCCAAATCACATTATCAAACGATCTCCGACCACAACTGGTTAGAACCATATACAAACATCATGCAGTAGTGAACATGAGAACAATTATTGTAAGATAACAATTCGCACAGGTGGACTTACATTCGCTCCAACTGTGTGCAATTCCCCAGATCTGAAGGAATAGTCCCATAAAAGTTGTTGTTATGAAGAGCTCTACAACATGATACATCAGACATAATCAGTCAGAGAAGAAAATTTGATATAACAAAGATACATCAATTACCATAACTGCTATTATATCTCTTAACATCACATACAAAATCATTAGCTGATCTAGCTTCCCAAGGCCTGGAGGTATATATCCACTTAATTTGTGACCAGCAAGGCTCCTGCAAGATACGCCATGAGAAACAAACTCATAACTGTAACACACAAAATTTACGACACTCATGCATTGTAACCTTTTTTTAATTTTAAAAAGGATGAAAATTTATTGAAAAGTGGACACATCTTTATTTAAAAGGACAGAAGGTTTAAGCATGATACGCCCTCCGCAGATCAAATGAACAATAAATTAGGTCTCAATCATCTATTTGCGAATGGGCTAAGTAATGTATATGCCTCAATGCCACTGTACAGGTAGGATATCCATTCGATCAAAATGACCCCAATTAGATAGTTACGTTACACTACTTTTCATTTTATATTATTTCTGTTGTGGGGTTACTTTTAGTTCTCAGCCTCCTCAATTTGCATTATAATAGAAGAAAATAACATTACTTATTTCATTTCAACCATATAGTCCATGACTCCATGTAAGAGCCAAAATCATACACCTCCAGAGAGCCACAGCTTTCTTGTTACCCCCCAAGAACAGAGCATTATATTCCAACAAAAGATAATAATCTCATGGGCAAGCCTGAAAATACCAAACATCCTCAAAACCAAGACTATGTCTTATGAAAGAACAATGTCGAAAGAGGTGCCCATCTCCAATGTGGAGATGAGAAATACATAATCTTTTGTTCTTTTAGTAGGAGACAAGAACTTGTAAAAAACAAATACAGGATATCAACCACAAGCGAAAAACAAAAACCAAAACCATAAATAAATCCCATGAAACAAGTGTTTGTTCGATAAGCACAGAAAGTGATTAACAAAACATAATTGTAGGCATTAACACTCACAAGTAGATTACTCTCTTTGTTTTGTCATCACATTTCACTCCTTTCCAATTACATGGATCAGGATCTTCTGGTCTCCATCGAAGAAGGATACCATCTGAACTAACAACTGCTGTCCTGAAGCTTAGAAGTGCCTCACCTACAAATAGATGAATATCTATATCAGATTATGGCATGTCGTATCCTTTGATTGACCAATATCTATAATGTAATAACTCTATTTGTTAAAAAAAACAAAAGAAAGAAGCCATAATGTAATACCTGCTCAAAAAATATACTCGGCCACTCTATTCTATGATTACAAACTATCCAATCTTTTTAAATTTCTAGATACACTAGCACAACCAATTTTTCAACTTAAGTAGATGTAAACACTACTATGGACACATACTTGGCATCACTGAATTTTTTTTACCATTCCCCGTGGTATAAGATGTCACTGTGTCAGAATATCTTCAATATTTTCTCATCCGTTATAATTTGGCACACGTCAAGATAACTCAAAATTAAAAAAAAAAAAAAGAAAAAGAAAAAGAAAAGAAAAGGACAAATGAAAAACTAAAATATGTCAAATTACCATCAGGACTTATAGCTCTAATTTCGTTCCTTGTTATATAAAGCAATAGAACGTAAAGAAGCCAGAGCCCTCTCCATTTCACCAAAAAGATGCCCATAGTGGCACTGGTCCAGCATAATACAGCAACAATAATTCATCTGTCAAGCCAAGGTTTACAATGCTTCCTTCTAGTTGACGTTGACATCCAGCAGCTGGAAATGAAACAAAAAGGAAACCTGAAAATGAACATGACTAATTTTAATAGCAGTTTGAACGCGACCAAAAACGAATAGCTGCTTGCTCATCCATTCCAATACATCACACAATATTATCTGTTAAGACTTAGCAAATGATAGTCACGCTCTACACTTCAATCTTAACCAATAGAATTCCCATAAATGGGGTGCAAAATGAAAAGGAACTATACAGGCATCATGTACAATTAAATTACGACACACACGGTAAGTAATAAAGTAAAAGTGCATTCACGAACTAGTAAAGCACATATTGCAAGAAAACAATATACAACCAAATCTAAAAAGATCCAAGGAAAGACAACGAAACAGTAAGTCCTTGCATATTGACCCGGGAAAATGGGTATTAAACCGTCAAAAGCCAACGAAATTGAGCACGAAATTATCCAATATGCAATTCACTACAACAAGCTCACAGCAATCAGGGTTAATCAAACAATGTCAATCAATAAATGCAATTAGTAAATCGAATAATGCATCGAAATTATCCTAAAACAAAGAAGGAACATCCACAAACACAACATCTTAAGCTTCATCATCAACTCTTCAATTTTTCAAGTTAGAAACTTTTGAAAATCCATGTCCACTGCCGGTCCTAAGAGTTAAAACCAAGTCAATTACCCTCCAATTCACTAGTAATTACAAGGGAACACAGTTAAGCTTAGATAGTTAAAAAAAGGTAAAATCTTGAAGTGAAATTGAAGTCAGATTTACCGATAAATGTTGAAAGATAAAGAGGCTGCTCTGGTTTTTGATCGATCTGAGACGAAAGCAATGCAGATTGAGCAATTGAGCAGCGGCGGAGAGACGTAAGCACCAGAAGCCAAAACGACACCGCACCACTCTGTCTGGCACTCCCCAGTCTCTGAGATTTGGGTGATGCCTAAGCCAGGACAGAGAGAGAGGGAGAGAGAGAGAGAGAGAGAGTGTGTGTGTGTGTGTGTGTGAGGAGGTAAGCAAGTGGAATTTAGAAAATAAATAAATAAATGATTGGAAAAGAGAATAAGCGAGAACAATGAAGGAAAGTGGTTTCGCACGAGTCTACGCTGACCTGCCGTACGTGTGCCGACCGACACCCTAGAAGGCTACAAGGCTACAAGGCTACAACAACATTAAAAAAATGGGGAAGCTGATCATCACACAAAAAATCCACTATTACTCCTGTTTCCTTTTAGGGTTTGGTTTTCTTCCGGTTTCTCCTCCGCCGCCAAGCCCTCTCCCAATCCAATCCCAATTCCTTATCCTGTGGCCACAAAATCGATTGGGAATCCCACACCATATAGGCATCCTTGTTCTTCCCCCAAAAACCAGCACAAATTCTCGTCGTTTTGCATCAACTATGAATATAATCTCATCCCCTTCCGTCGTCTCCGCCGTCGTCATCTTTGAGATTGAGAATCTTCGCGTCCTCGGTCCCGGCTTGAATCCTTTGGCTCCAAACTACTGCATGGCCAATCATTCTCGCTAAGTCTCTCTCTTTCACTCTCACACCCTTCCTTTTCAATATTGTTCTTCCGGTCCCTTTTTTTTCTTTTTACTTTTTTTTTTTCCCTACAAATTATGTAAATCTTGGGTTCTGGGGTTGAGATTTGTTGTTGTAGTTGCGTAAAAGAGGGCTTGTGTTTTCTTTGTTGGTATCAAATCGTGCGTTTTTGGGTTGTGGATTGCCCCGATAGACCGAGGTAATGGGCACGCTCAGGCGGTCGTTTAGGTCCAGTGTGGACATGGATGATAGAGGATGGACTCTGCTTCATATTGGTTGTCGAAAGGGCGACCTGAAACAGGTAAATTCTATGTTTTCGGTATTGAGAATGTTGCTAAATGTTTGGTTGTAAAGTTGGAAAAGCATTGCATGATTTGTTAAGATTTGGATGTTGTAATATCTTGTTTAAGCTCATAACTATTATTAGCCCTGCGAAGCTAGTTTATTGTGTCATTGAACGGAGCCGGCTACATAGGATTTGCACAACTAATATACAATACGACGCGATGATAAAGTCCCTTGTTGACATTGTATTGGATAATTCTTTTCTATTCTAATTGATAGAAGAGAGAAAAAGTGTAGTCTCAGATTATGATTTGTCTGGATGATAAAATAGTATCAGAAAATTTGCAACGTCAAGGTTTTCTATACGCTTTGCAACACAATCTGCATTATTTATGCATTACAACTATAGATATATTTGTGCGCGCGCTATGGTAGGTGGACCACAAACGTGTTCTTTTTTCAGACAAGTAGTTGTAATTTCTTTGTGAAGGGTCCTTTAGAGTATTTCAAATGAGGTTTTCTGGATTTGACTTTTGAGTAGAAATTGCATCTTTAGGATTAATAATTAACTTATACAAATTCCTCCCTTAATTAACCAAACTTATACGCTACTGTAGATTGCGACTCTAAAGCGACTTAAGAGTTGCAGATTCTTACTCAAAATTGGCTTCCAGAATACGAAATTAATAACTGTAAATTGACTTTCAGATTGCTACTCTAAATCGTGAAATTGATAAATAACTTGTTAGAGACTTGTGTATTGAATGGAACTCTCAGCTTTTTTAATTCTTCTTGTGGTTTTTACTTATATAACAAGTAAAATGAATTGTGTTCCTGATGAAAGCCCACTTGTTTTGTCTTATTTGGCTGCTTTTCTGAACACCTTCTAACTATGGTAAATTAGGAGAGAAAGTGCAGGTCTCTTTTGGGGACTTTCCTGACAAAAAAAAAAATGACTTAATAGTAATTTAAGTGGCTACAAGGAAATGAAAATTAGCACCCTGGTCAGAAGTACAATCTATTTTTCAAATGGGTAATGCTAGGGAGACTAAATTTGCAAACTAAATGATGTGTCACCAATAAGAAATAAGCATGTTAATCAACACTTAAGTAATAATTCAATCATCAACTTCCATGTCGTTTAGTTTACAAAATTTAGTCTACACATTTAGTCTCCCAAGCATTACCCTTTTCAAATTAATATGAAACACAAGCTTTGTGTTTTCTTGAACTTTTTTTCACCTGCTTTGCCCCAACTAATTTGTTAATTATTTAAAATTTTTCTGTCTGTTCTTTTCCTCCGGCAGGTGAGGCGGCTTCTTGACAAGGGAATGGATGTGAATGCTGCTGCTTGGGGTCGCAAATTGAAAGGGGTTACCCCTCTCCACCTAGCTGCTGAGGGTGGTCATTTGGATGTTATGGATGAATTACTTGAGCGTGGAGCTAACATTGATGCCAGAACTAAGGGTGCTTGTGGCTGTAAGTAGCGTCACCCTTCCTTTTTTTTTTGTTTTTTTTTTTTTCCTCCTGAGTAGCTATTTTCAAGTTTTATATGTTTTAGTTGAGAAGATGAAGAAATTGCAATAGTTAAGGTATTATCTGACGCGTTCTGCTTCCTTTATTTGTTGAAACAGGGACCCCGCTTCACAGTGCAGCCAAAGAGAGGAGGAGGGAAGCAGTGAAATTTCTGGTAGAGAATGGAGCGTTCTTGCCAGATGACATGTATGATTGTAGGTTTAACCCTCCCCTCCATTACTGCCCTGGGCTTGACTGGGCTTACGAGGAGATGAAGCGTCTTCAGCTAGAAAGTGCATCATCAGGGGAGAGCTCTTGCAGCTCTGAAAGCTAAGTACTGCTGCGGTTTCGTCACAGTTGGTTTGTTGATTGGTCTTGTCTATATAAATATATAGCACAGAGATAAATAAGATGCAAGATGCGCCTGAGTCACCATCTTGTGTGTGTTTGGTTGCTCCTGTCTTGCATGAAGGATGTTCTGGTGTACTTATAAAAGTCTTTATGTCGTTTCGAACATTATCATGGGCGCTATTATGCTCGTCAAGGGAACTCTTGTAGCTCCGAAAGCTATTGATTGTGTGGACTTGGCTTTTGTGTCACCGTGTCTGTATGTTTGGTTCCTGATGTTATGTATCCGAGATGTTCGAGTGTGGTATGATGGATTGGATAACCTTACAATGATGTTATATGATAATAATGATTATGGCCTACATGCACCCTCCTCCTTTCTTTGAAACTTAGATGAATTATTCGCGGCGCATATGGTCGTTTGACATTGTCCAAGGAAATCTGGTTCGAATTTGTCTATGCGGAACACCTTCTGTTTAGCCTCTCACAGCTCTGTTTAACCGTATTGGTTTTTGTGTGTTTTATTCAACCCGACGGTTAAAAATAAAGAAGTTTGGGAAACAAGACACGCAAAAATCACCACCGTTGGAAATTTTCGTGAACACCAAGATAATACATTTAGCACAGGGTACTCTTAAACATGATAGTGACTAACAAAAAAACTAATCAAGATAATACATTTATGCTCATATCCTTCTCCAACGGGTATGAGCATAAACGGTTATTGGTAAACAACTACGGTTATCCGTTTGCCATAACCCTTGCCCATTCCTACTTGTAACATGTTTATGACAGTTCTTTTATTTATTTATTTATTTTTATGCCTCCATAGAAATTCAAACTTGGATTGAGGGTTGAGGGTTTTAAACCTTTGGTCGCTTTTCACCACACATGCGCTTAATTACTTACTCTTGGTATTGGATCGCATCGCATTATTTTACGCAGTAACATATTCGTCGGCCTCCTGAATATAAAGTTTTATGCACTATATCCGTCCCATTACTTTTGTATACACACACACATGATATTCTACGGTACACTATCTAAATTGCAAGAGAGATTCAAACTCAAGTGGAAAGAATGAAGAACATTCGTTATCTTTTACAAAACGTCAAATTGTCACATAAGCCGTATTCATCGAGCCTCATATTCAGCGAGCATGTGTTGAACTCATAATCCATGTTAAAATAGAAAATCCAGTCTCTGGTGCTCTTTAATCGCATCAAACAACAAACTAACAAACTTGAATTCATTTTAATGATTCATAGCCTTATTGTGAATTACGGCTCAAAGTTAAAGTCTTGAATACGAATCTGGAACTGGCAATCGATCAAACAAAAAGTAGAGAAGAAGCTTTCAAAGAGTTCTGCCATTAGGGTGATTGATCAAAGACGAGCAGAGAAATCCTCTCATAATTTTTATGTTTAAAATAGTACTACAGATATCATAAATCCACTTCCAAATGACTTATAAAGTTTTCCTTAATGCTTAGAGAAAAAATTTTGTGAAAATAAAAAATTTGTATTTTTGACAAAAAAACGTGGGTGTAATCACGGATTTTAGTCAGTTTTGCAAATTTATACATAAATCGTCGTTTAAACTATTTATTTTCACTTTCGCCTTACTGTGAAGATATGAAAATTAAAATAAGACTTTCCGTTGATATTCTTTAGGATGGAACCCCAACAATGTTTTCAGCCTCACTATTATAATTTTTTACATAATTTTTTAGCTTTCAGCTTAAATATATATTAAATATACATTTATTGATCATAGTAAAATCAGGTTCCATATACTTTATAAAATTTTCCTTTAATACTAACGAAAAATATTTTACAAAAATAAAAATCTTATATTTTCAACAAAAAAAAAAACGTGGATTAACATTTTTTTTTTTTTTTTTTGGAATGGTCTTATGGTGCTCGAAGATGACCGCAGGCTTACCAACGCAGCGATCAACTTGCAGCCTCGGGTGCCTCGACTTGGAGATGGCGGCGGCCACCAAGTTTGAACTTGAAGGAAGGATACATGTTGAAAACGACATGCCGCTCACTTGGGCTTAGGGTTTTAGACGATGGTGGCTTCGCGGCTCGGTGGCCCGGCTCAAAGCCGTGGTTTCTGCGCGATTAGGGTTTTGAAAACCCTCTATTTTATGCTTTTCGATATTGTATCTCAACAAGTAATCGACCCATTGGATCACAATAATAAATAATTATAACAAGATGCAATTAAAAAAAAAAAAAATTAGAATACTTTGACGATGAGCAATTTCGATAACGCTTCTTGAGGTTTTGGCTCTTCTCACAAAGTCACGTTCATTCTAATATCGTATAGTAAAATAATTCTCAAGTAGGATGAGAGAGGAACAACGGTGGAGAGAGAAGGGCACAAGTGATTTGTGATAATGGAGTTTCACCTTCGGGCCTTGTGCCTTTATTTATATTAATCATGATGAACTTTACTTGCCTACAAGTAATACAAGTCTATAAGAATTTGATCTTCAAATCCATTTTACATTAAATTTATAAAATCATATTCCTAGATATTATTCACAACACAAATATATTTGGGAAATTGACATAAATAGGCTATTTTTTTAATCTTTAGACCAAAATAAGACAAACCGGCCATACACACTCTATACACAAAAGCAAAATGACGAAAATACTCGCATATAAATTGTAAAAACTCAGCTCATTGCGTAATTTTTCTGATTTCGAGGACAGAGCCATAATTGGCTTGTCTTTTAGTACATTTACCGTTTTTCCCTTTTACAATGAAAACTGATAAGAAACATAATTTTCCATCTCCAGCATATTATGCACTCAAACGAGCTCCATACCCAGATAGTGTCTATGTTGTGGGAAGTCAAACAAAAGAGAGTTAGAACTGATCCTATCATGATTCATCATCACTACTCTCAACAAGGATAAGTTGCTTTTTGCTCTTTAGCCTTTTTGAGGCTCTGTTTTCATTTTCTTCTTCTTCTTTAACCTCATCAGGCTGCGCCGAATCAGCATACTTTGTCACTTGTTCAAGGATTCTACTTCCGTATTTCTCCGTCTTCACTTTTCCAATTATATTCTCCAACTGCAAAGAAATTAAATATGTTTCATGCATAAATTCAGGACACCTACCCCTTGTTTGCATAGCAACAACATAGATTAATAGCATATAATACATTGCACTGAAGCGCTCGCACTACAAGTTTTCATCAAACAGAAGATATCGAATTACTTAAATTGTTGCAAGAGATCTCCCCCTACACAACCACAAGAAACTTTTTGTATGCATCTTAAATGGAATAGTGTTCACAAAACTAACCAGTTCCATTGAATTTGGCTTCTGGGCACTTATCAAGCTGATTTGTTGAGTAGACAGAACAGAATGTGGAAATATTCCTCCATGAACTGAAGATAGTTCCTTCCTCAGCTCGCCAAGCTTCAATTCCAGAGTAGAGGAAGCACGACTGTGTTTAACTGATCTCATACCAGCTACTTTCTTTTGTCCGCTAGTCATTTCAAGCTTTATGTTTCTCTTACCTAAATGTGAAATGAATTGATGTCAATTAGAGCTAACCAGAAAAGAAGCGAAAACGGAGTCAAGAGTAACATAAAACCTTTTTTTCCAAGCGGTTACTATGAGTTTCAGTAGTTCATGGACAGTGAAAGGTGAAATGTAGGTGATCATGACACTGAAATTGAGTCAAGTTACATCACAATTCTCTTTCTTTCTATTTGCAGGTACGGCGCTCAAAAAGGAAAATATGCATCTTATTAGAGCATCTCCAATGGTATAGGCAATTAAAGTAGGCAAAATTGTACTATAAAAGCTGATGTGGCATGTTGGCTACTCAGTTGCCCCATGGAAAAAGTGTCACTCCAATGGATTAAGCAATCAAATGGGTTTGACTAATCAATTGCCTACTCCATTGGAGATGCTCTTAGACCAAATTTTCAGCACAGGAACCTAAACAACCGATATAAAACAGGTATAAAGTAGGCTCTAGGTAAATTGGACCATCAACGATATTTTCTTTAATAAACATGTATCACGTGCAGTAGCACCCATAGGTGTAAGAATATTTTACACCAAATTACAGGGGCGTGCAATTTGGCCAGATTGACCAATATAGACATATATCCAACGTTAGCGTAAAAGCGGATCTTTACTTCCACAGTTAATCACTTTCATACCGTAACCGACATGTTTTATTTTGCTATTATTAATGGAATATAGACATATCAAGAATAGCATTCAAGGAAACTTGTGATAATATGCGACTCCTTTTCTTAGAATACCTCAAAATGTAAAACTATCTGACGTTCTGCAATTCACATAAGGGTTAGACTTGAGAACAGCAAAACTAGAAACTCACTCCAAATGGGATGGAAAATGGCTTAAGTTTCGCAATTCTCACAGTTAGCATTCCACCTTCAAAGATATCCTCTAGGGCATGGTTAAAGCTTCTGCAAACTTCTATAACAGAACTGGTAAGTAAATTAGAACTTGAATGCTGCAGTATTACTTTGAAATAGGAGAGCCCAAAAGGACTCATGACTGTCTCGTTGGCAATATCTTAAAGGCACAAGCACCTTTTGATATGGGTGATCCTAGCAGGTGTAGTCTTTGAAAATGAGCTGTAAATTTGACAGTTTGGATCACTGAATTCTAGTGCAGTGTGCCCCTATATAAATGTTCTAGGTAAATTCTTGTTATATTTACTAAGCATTATGGATAAATCATCAATCTCTGCCTATTACAAGACTGATTTTTTTCTTAAAGGGGGTTCAACATCAACTCGTTAAGTAGGACATTAACATTATCATGACAAGCTTATGGGTGTTTTGACATTACTGTCCTTGCAAAGGCACCAGTTATGCTACAAGATATGTCGTTCTTAAATAAAATGCCTCAAACTGTAACTTTCAAAAAATAGCATTTCAGATAATACCATAAACTTTTCCTGTATAAAATATGTTAGTATAACTTTCGAGAAAGAATAATTTCTGACCTTGCAATACTTGCTTTGCCAAGGGTCCTATTGTTACATATGCATTTGTGGCATAAGCTGTATGCTGAAATTCTTCTTTCTGCATCAAGAACAGTGTGATTCTATATCACGTACTTGAAACAACCATATCAGAGTTATCAAGATTCAACAAAAATAATAACATGCTTACAGAAGATTTAACAGGGCATAATTTATAGAGAATGAAAAATAAAAACCTTGGGAGACAAATTTTTTGTCTTGCAAAAAAAAAAAATTAATAATAAGAACAATATGCTTTAACGAAATAATTCAGAAACTAAAAGAAAATGGCACTGTAACAGAATTATAAGGCCCAAAAGCTTAAGCTGAGAGCCAACATCAATGTATATCAAACTTACAATCCTCACCTGCAACCCCACCCTATGCATGGACAAGCAAACAAATGCAGATAGAGATTGGAGATTTTAGGACCTTCGAAACCGGAGCCTTCTCATAATTTTTGGCAAATAAGCAGACCCCAAAAGGCTTACGGGTCTATTTGATTCGCTGATTCGCTGATGAGATAGATGAGAATGAGATCCTGTTCTCATGTTTAGGAAGACCATTGATGGAAACAGATAACTGCCACAATGTATTCCAAGCACATGAAAGGGGAATCTCATACCCTTTGGGGTGTTGTTCCCATGACTAGAGAAATGCAAACAATGCATCTTTTCTGACTAAATTATCTTGGTTGACAATTTAGAATACAACTTTTTTATACACAATGCTGGGGTGTGATTCAAAGGCTAAAAAAAAAAAATTGGTTCTGATAACTGCATAGTCAGAATGAAAAACAATGAAATTTTCCTTGATGTCATTCTCATTTCCACATTTTGGAACACTCAAAATCTTCTATTCCCATCCCCAAGGAATGAGCATGGGTATTTCCTGCCCAAAGAGCAAATCCCGCAAACCAAATGGGCCAAATGAACCTTAGGGGTTCAGGAATGGCCAAAAATGTATATCACACTAACAAATATTATTTAAAACCTTGCAGGAACATCAAGATTTAAGACCAAATACATGCACATGCCGGAACATTAAAAATTAGAATTCTTAAAGAGTTTTCTGTGATTGTCAAAAATCAGATCAGAAAAAAATCAAACAATTGAGAACGACGACTTTTTCAAGGTCCAAGAGTTTGACTTCTTACCAAAAATCGATCTAATATAAGCTGTATGACAAGCTTCTCTATTTCCTCTCTGTTCAGCTCACAACCTGAGTAATTCATACACCAATGATAAGTTTCCATTTACTAAATGATAACGTGTCAGAATTTGTGTTTTAAGTCAAATCTCTCTTGATTTTTTTTTACTTTTTGTTCCATAATTTATTAATGTATAAGTGAAGGGCAAATAATCGTTGGTTCATTATATGTTTTCAATAATATTACTTTGTGCGACAGAAAACTGATTAACAAGTCAATTATATAGTAACTACTAAATAATGTGCAATTGAGTAGTGTGCCCTGTGAACTAACTATATGGCTCCGCCATTGACAACACTTGGAACTACAGAACAGAAAATACAATATGCCCCTCCAGTTCTTTCCAAAAGTTTCATGCCTCTCACGCCTTTGACCCTACAAGGCCTACACACTACAGAAAACAACCCCTCGTTCCCATCACTAGATCTTAGACAAGCAGAAATAGTGAATAGACCAAAATATAATACGACACAGTTCTAGCATTCTTATAATAACATAATAAAGGCACAGCCTTCGACCTACACAAACTTCATTTTTCCTAAGTAAACTAAAAACTCTCTATTTCTTTTTTCACTCCTCAGTAGATATCACTATTATAGGGAAAGCTGATCAATGCATTGTGCTAGTATGTAACTCAGATTGAAATTAAAAAACTGAATTAGTTTACCATTATTTTCTGGTTGTACAAACATTTCCATGATAGCTAAAATGGTACATTTATTACACCGGAATCAATTTTTTCTTTTTTTTAGAAGAAGAAATGATAACAATTTATTAAAACAATAACATGAATTACAAAATAGTGGATAAGAAATCCACCATCCAGCAAAACTAGCTAAGACCTCTCAAGTAGATCTATTTACAAGTAACTAAAACTGAATCAAAATCATTTTACGGCTGCTAACATATCCCACACTATATGAGAAAGAGAATAATCCCTGAACTCATTCCTAGATCTACTACACCGGAATCAATCATCTAATACAAAAAGAATTATATAATGAAGCAATAAAAATACCTAGTTCCTTGTGCTTTATTTTGATTTTATCAACTAATTGCAGCACAGTCAATCTTTGATCATTTTCTTGTACATCTTGCAGCAAAGAAATAATAACCTTTGCATGACCTGTAAAGCATGCCAACAGTATGAACGAAACTAATAGACAATTATACAGAATTGTACTCTTTTCTTTTGAAGAGAACACAAAGAAACATACGTGACACATCCAGCTCTTTAACCTCATTGGAAAATGCACAGTTGTCACACATCCCTGAGTTAGCATACATTAGTTATAAGAATTAGTAAAACCAAACAAAGGACGTGTGTCCCCGTGTGTGCTTATGCATGTGCTCTTGAGCATACAGAGGAACAACCAATAACACTTTATTACCATTGCAGTCCTGTAATGGCTCAGCAAAATGGCGGAAAAACGAACTACGGCGGCATTGTCTTTTTGACTGCAATTTTAAAGAGAAATTGATAAGACTAATGTTAGATTTAGTACTTTTATTACAAAAAATCAAATGCATGTGGCGCAAGGCTACAAATATTACGAAACTATGTAACTGGTAGGACGACTAAAATGAAAACGGATACTACCTGACAATATCGTACTATGTCATAAAGGTTCTGCAATCCAGAATTTTCATAGAAGACCATTGAACTCTGCTCAGAGAAAATAATATCTAAAGATCACATTGTTTAGGAAATTATACATGAACCAGCGCGATAGCAGAAAATAATACCTGTCTAGGAACATCACCGGGTCTAAAATACAGTAGGCATTGAGAAGGGAGTCCATCTCGTCCAGCTCGGCCACTTTCCTGGATTTACGAAGGTTACAGAAGGGATAAATTTAAAGGATATGTAAGTTAGCAGTTGGGAAGGTGAAAAACCTGGTAGTATGTTTCCATTGATTTACTTAGGCTGTGATGGATGACAAACCTGACTACAAGCAGTTACCAAGTATTAGATATAACAGGAAAAGAAAAAGACTTCTTTGACGGAACAGAAAAATAAGATTAAATTTGTATTTGTATGCAAACTTCAAATGGCTTGGAAAAACAAGACAACATAAGGAAATAGAAGATAAGTGAAGAAAGAAAGCATCGACTGCACAAGTTTTGCTGTCTGTGATCCCAAGACCTTGAACATTAGACTGAACTTGTCCCCGATCCACCCATATATGAAACTTTTCCCCATAAAATGTTACTCATACTTACCAATTTAAATTCTTATGTTATTAATTATTATGAAAAATTATTCCCCCTTTAATATCATTATATTTATAAGGTGCTAAGATTTCCATTGAAAACAAAAGGAAATTACAACACAAGAGACATGGTGTTCCCTGAACTACATGCAATTAAAGAACAAGAAAAGATAAAAGAAAGAAAACAAACAAAAGAACTAACAAACATAGAACAGTCCCCAATCAGGAAATAAAATCGCATAAACAGTCAGTCCATACTATCTGAGCCAAAAGGATGTCCAGAAACAAACTCTAACCCACAAGTAATCCACATTCTCCCCCTTCACACCCTAAATGTTTCCCCTATTTCTCTCCATTCAAACAAAACAAAATAAAACTGCCAGCACCAAGCCCTTTTTCCCAACTTAGGCTTCTCACAAATAATGCAATACAAGATTCTGGGATTGCCCGAATCAAACTGCACCTTTCTTTATTTTCTGAACCTCTAGTTGTATTAGCTCTGTAAAGATTCCAAACAATTCCCCTATTTCTACACATTAATGATAATATGCTTTTATTGGGGAAAATACATGAACATTGCAAATTTAAGACCGAGTGCCCAAGAGTTGGGCTATGTGTGCTGGTCATAATGCTCAATTCAGAGAGAAACAAAGGACCCAAGTAACCAGCTCGGGTCCCTTACGTCTCAGTTTTGATAGTACTATTGATCGAAGAAATAAAAACATGGTCATTATGATGTAAAAGGAGTAAATTATAAATCAAGTTGCAGATTCGAGCTAAAGATCCTTTCCCTTCTGGGACTCACCATGTTAAAAGAATCAAATCACCATTCAATCATCTATTAAGGTTCTCTTAGTTTACTGTTTAGTGAATATTTTTGCAGATTCAGACCTTATGTACAGTACTGATAGTGTGTGCGCATATTACCATGTGCTGGGAAATTAGGAATATCTTGACCTGTATGCATAATGGTTTTCAGAACTTCATGATTCATAAATGACTCCCATTAGGAGTCAAGTCCAAATATGATGACCAGATAACCACCATAATCTATTAAGTCCCCACATACTGTCAATGCAAAGAAGATAAATTTCGATTGGAGAACTCATACAACACAAAATCAAAGCAAATAATGTTGAAGGACTAACCATCTGGTTTGTTGATTCCCATGCCAAATGCTACCTGGAATGCATATGCAAGCTAAGGTGTAAGGAAGATAAATAGGAAAACAATAAAGTTCTTTACGGTGAAAAAGGGAACTGCAAACAAACATACAGTGCCTACGATGACTTGTAGCTTTCCATTGCTCCACCTGTGTTATCAAACATACGAAAGAGGAGAAAGTGACTAAACAAAAGAATATGCATTAAGACGTGATGATGTGTGAGCTCGGAATAGGCGATATGCATACAGAGTTACCTAAACATCCATAAAGATAATACTAGTTGCTAAAAATAGATAATAAAGGGTAACAATTGAGTTTTAAGAGGCGGGCTTGAATAATATGAGCTGGGCATTCAGTTAATAAAACTATCTATTAATCTTCAATCCTGCAGGTAACCCATAAAGGTTGACAACCTAAACCAAGTTTTCAAGCATCTAAAGATCATCAACTAATGTAAAACAAATTGTGGAGAGCAAAATGCCCCTCTCTGAGCCCTCTCAAGGCTCTAAACCTACCTCTCGGTCTGCCATCAATTATCTCTTAAAAATTAGATAAACTCACTACTAATCCCTGTCCTCCACCTCCTAACACATGAGCTAGGAATGGTAATTAACAATCAAAATGGTCATATGCTTGGGTAGCAAATACGATATGCATATCCAATTCTTCATTCTGTGTATCGTGACATCATCTGAATTTTGGGCAACTTTGACTTTTGGATATGATACTTAGGGAAAAGATATCCAGAATTTCAAGGAATGTGACAAATAAGAGGTTAATCCATGGTATACTTTAGTCAGCACTCAGCACAAACAATCCAGAAAGATTTTGTCCCTTAAAAAAAAAAAAGAATAGACCAGCATACTTAGCAACATTCATGTAATTCCATGATACCCATGTTAGGTTTTTGGTTCGTCTTTTGTTGAAGTCCTATTTTGTTTAGGATTGTATTTTGGAAAGCTAAAGGTGCACAGATTCTTGTCCTACAAGGATTAGGAAAGAATTAAGTTTTCTTATACAATTAGATTAGGAACCCAAGAAGGAAAATTGGAATAGGAAAGAAAGTTTACTTTCCTATCCCATATATAATATGAAAATTGCTTTTAGCAATGGCAGCACAGCATGACATGGAGATTGAGCAGATGGATGTGAAGACTGCGTTTCTCCATCGGGATCCAGAGGAAACGATTTCATGGCTCAACCAAAATGGTTTTCCGAATATGGGAAAGAAAACCTAGTATGTCGACTCAGGAAGTCCCTGTATGGCCTGAAGCAGTCTCCAAGGCAGTGGTACAAGAGATTTGATTCCTTTATGCTGAAAATTAATTTTAGGAAATTGCTTATATGATTGTTGAGTGTAGTACCATGTATTCCAAGATGGGATGAGCATATTGTTGCTGCTATATGTGGATGACACACTAATAACTTGTCAAGCCAAGTCTAGAATTCAAGACTTGAAGAAGATGTTAAGCAAGGAGTTCGACATGAAGGATCCAGGTGCTGCGTAAAAGATCCTTGGCATGGAAATTCAGAGAGATAGGACCGGTGGTAGGATCTATATATCACAAGCCAAATATATCCATAAGGTTCTTGAGAAGTTCAACATGCTAGAAGCAAAGTCAGTTTCGACTCCTTTGGCAGCTCACTTCAGATTAAGTGGCCAATAGTGTCCTAAGTCAGAAAAAGAGAAATCAGATATGGAGAAGGTTCCCTATGCTAATGTTGGGGGCTGCCTAAGGTTTGCAATGGTGTGACACGACCCGACTTAACTCAAGCAATCAGCGTCATTTCCAAGTACATGGCAAATCCAGGAAAGCAACAATGGGATGCAGTAAAGTTGATTCTGCATTACTTGAGAGGTTCTTGGTGACAAGGGTGCTAGGGTACATTGATGCTGACTCTGCAGGGGACTTGGAAGAAATTCAAGCATTGCTTGAACTTGATTGATCTCATTGATTGATCAAGGTGGAGCACCTCCTCACTTGAGGTAGGCGAGAAGAAGTTTGCCAAGGTGAAGGTTCTTGAAGATTTCCAGAGCTGCTTCAAGAAGGTTCGAATATAATCTGGGGTGCAACAGTCAAGACTTGGTTCGACTCACCAAGGTGGAGATTATTAGCTTTTTAGTCCGTCTTTTGTTAACCTCCTATCTTGTTTAGGGTTGTATTAGGAAACCAAAAGGTGCACAGATTCTTGTCCTACAAGGATTACGAAAGAATTAAGTTCTCTTGTAAAATTAGATTAGGAATCCTAGAAGCCAAACTGGATAGGAAAGAAAGTGTACTTTTCCTATCCCATATAGAATAGGAAACCTAATCAGAAAATAGGATGTAAACCGCACCCTATACTTATAAATAGAGGTGCGGGAAAGGCTAATAAAGAAAGTGAGAAAACAGAGAGACAGCCGAGGGAAGAAAGGGATTAGTTCGAGGGTTTGCAAAAGTACTGTATGCTCTATTATTTATCAAAGAAGTCATGGTTTCTCTACCTAGAGAAATCACAACTGGACGTAGGCACAAGTTCTACCAAACCGGTATAAATCTTGTGTGTTTCTAGTTATTCTCTAATTTGCTAAGTTTAATTTATTGCCGGATACATCAAAGAGCAAGTTCCAGAGGAGAGTCAAAGTAATAACAACCCTCAGCCACAAATCATACTGGAAAAATAATCTCTGCAAAATATCTATAATGAGTCAATAAATTTACCGCTTATGAACATTTTCACGAGCATTTGCATCCATGTCTGCATGATAATGATGAGCTGATATTCCTTTCTCACGCAGCTCCTTTGCAACCTAGAATTCTAAACGTAAGGAATTATGTATAATGCTATTTTGGACAAGCAATTATGTATGATGCTACAACCTAAAACACCTTTCTATGCATGACAATTATGCTAAAGCCCCAATCATGTGTGAATTTACGCTAAGTAAGCAAATTCTTGCAAAAAATATATAGAATAATCCAGTTTAGATAAATTAAACAGTTGTGGTCATGAGTCATATCAGACTCACTGTAGCCGACAAGACAGAGAGAGAGAGAGAGAGACTCAACAACAGAATCCTATAAAACTTACATTTACAAAACAGGATACAAAGTGTGTTCTAAGTGAAAATTATCTATAGGGAAAGATTTCTATATTTCGGAAATATGCTCAAAACTGTGATACTTAAGCAATTCTGTTTTGACTCCAAAAAAATTTTGGAAATTTGTTAACATATCAAAAGTTTATCTAACCAAATTCAGGCATTGTGCTTTAAAACTGCTTACAGTTCCATCATTTCAGGATTTATTTTGTCCATATCTGCTATCACTTTTTACAAATTATGTGACAGTCAACTGAAAGCAACCAACAATGAAAATAAACAAACAACACAGACCTGTTCACATTCCTTTCGAGAAAAGCAATACACTATGCCAGATTCATGATCTGAATAAGAGTGATGAATAAATTCTGCAATTTCATCAACCACCACCTTGCCAACTGAAGACTTCTCTCGTACCTAAAGCACAAAGAATTATGGCGACCCCTCTTCAAATTCAAAGCCAGAAACAATGAAAAAACAAACAAACCATATAAAATAGATTTGGCCTGTTGACTGTGCTGACAAATTTTACACATCTAGGAATGTGAAGCATCTCCATCAGATCACTTTGCACTTTCTGGGTAGCAGTGGCCTGCAGTATGACAAACCCATCAAGTCAACCAAAAAATACGATTAGAAGCAAGCACATGGTTACTCCATTCTTTTCATTCCTCTATATTATCTACGAATGAAGGTTAAACCGCAAACCCCAAACTGCTTTTTCCCGTTCTATTAGTTTCATATGAGTTGATTGAAATGCCCCAATAATTTAATGAATTTATTATCAAATTTGAAAGCACTCAATAGCATCATTTTGCCAGATACAGAACAAAAAATAACAGCCCCTCTGTCATGCTTTCCTTTGCTTCTCTACCACCAGCATGGAAGAGAAAATTGTGACCAGCATTCAGCAAATTATTACCATAAATTTTGGGAACTGTTATTAGCACTCCAAAAATCTCATTCTACACTCCTCACAAATGTAATTTTCTTTCCAATTATAGAAAGTTTGGAGTGCAAAATGAGATTGTTGGAGTGCCAATAACAATTCCCTAAATTTTATTAATACGGAAACTGATACAATACACAATGAAATCAAAGCTCTCGCCAATAAAGAGAAATAAAATTAACAAGGTACTTTAACTTCTATTGAATACCCAAAATTTAAATTGATGACTTTTTGTTTATTCGAGACGGGAGTGGAAGAAGCTATGGAATTGTGATAGTGCCTCTAAAGAGGATATAAGAATTAAAGACAAAAAAAAAAACTTACAGTCAGAGCAATCACAGGAACATTGGGAAACTGAGTCTTGAGGATACCAAGACTTTTGTAGTCAGGTCGAAAATCATGACCCCACTGGCTGCAGCAATGTGCCTCCTGAAAAAATACACCATGATATTAGACACACAGAGATATTCAACTTACTAACTAAAGAATAAAAAATTATTGATTGCTGAAGGATGATAAAGCCAAAATACCAATGTGCCTATTTTTGCTTCAAGGTATAATGAATCATTCAAGGCAACATACTTACGTCAATAGAAATGAGAGATAGACGACCAGCGTTATGGCACTTTTCAAGTTTTGACATAAACCTCTTACTCTTTGATATCTTTTCTGGTGTCACGTACAATATTTTCAAATCTCCCTCCCCCTTTTCGAGGGACTTGTATATTGACTTCTCCTCCTCCTTATTAGTAGTTGATGTCAACATATGAGCTGGAATGCCTAAAGCTGACAAACCCATCACCTGAAGCAATGGTAGTTTGTTGAATAACCTGACTAAAATCTTCAGGACACAGTTTTTGTAAAGTGATGGATAGAATTTATTACAACCTGGTCCTGAATCAATGAAAGCAAAGGACTGACAACAAGAGCAACTCCATCACGAAGAATTGCTGGAAGCTGGTAACAGAGGCTCTTGCCACCACCCGCAGCCATAATCACTAAAACATCTCTTCCACTCATCACAGCATTGATAATCTGGCATGAATTAGCCACTATCAGCAAATCTAAAGAAAGAGATGGGGATAAGCATCTAAAAAACAGTTTGAACTTTAACAACTAAAGGGCGAACTGGCACTAATATAACGCTAGAACTACTGGAGTGCAATTAGCGATACCACCAAGAGAAACACAACTGGTACGGGAGAAAGATAAAACATTCACAATTCCAGCTACCATATCCATCCACTACTTGGGCCAAAGCCCACGTTATCTGATTGGAAGAACTAGTTTTCAGTTTGAATGATCAAAACTAATACTTGTATTATATATAAAATAAAATGACATATGAAACCACAATGAATCAGCTATAAAGACTCTCAAACAACTATTTATGCGAGCGTAGGAGTTGACTTTTCGAATTACAGAAGTACTGATAAGGTCATTAATTATAATTACTAGTAACTGAAATACTTCTCTTTGTATTCTTTGTGTAGCTATTGACTCCCTCATTTTCACGGAGAAGTGCATACAAAGATTAATCTCAAATATTCTCTACATATACCAAAGCCTAGAGAAAACTAGGACTTTGTGCTTCTTACCTAGCAGTTGGCCCCTGCCCAAACCCTAGCTGTCGGCAAACTAGTTTTTGTTAGCCAATTTCCCTGTGATCTTCCCAGTGAGCAAAATCTATCCATTTTCCAGGACACGTCAATCTCGTCCCGAGAAGAATACAACACCCTCAGCTGTTTACTGCCACCGCTGCCCTAGAATTTCTAGCTTTCCATATGATTCTATGAAGAATGAGCAAATAATGAGGTTTTTGTCTTTAAACGTGAAATGAAAAGAAAAATGCTTGTACTGTCGTGATTTTTTCCGCTGCTCTTCCAATTTTTATCCGACTGATTACTAAGCTATTTTTTTTTTCTATCCTTTGGCCAGCCAATCTCCACACCTTCAACTGAGACAGTGCAAAGCAACAATGTGCTGATGCAGGTCACAGTTAATCTAGATGGATCCAGTTATTCTTTGCGGTATACAGTTGTGGAAATATAAGTCACTGAGAGAGGAAAACTGGGTTACTTTTGAAAGACTACTGAACCATCTGAAACTGACGTTATCTATTCAAAGGGAAATTGGCATCTTCAGTTTATACTACATATTTATGTCGATAGTTGCACGCAGATATGGTGTTCAAAATATTTGCAAAAATCTTGTTTACTGGTGTTCAATTTCTTATCACTAACTTATGTTCAATTGCTTTCATTAAAGCTGACGTTATCTATTCAAAGGGAAATTGGCATCTTCAGTTTATACTACATATTTATGTCGATAGTTGCACGCAGATATGGTGTTCAAAATATTTGCAAAAATCTTGTTTACTGGTGTTCAATTTCTTATCACTAACTTATGTTCAATTGCTTTCATTAAAGCTGAAACATGATTTACTTAAAACATCTTCTTGTAGACAGAGCTCATGCTTATTGACAACTTGCAAAGGAACTCCTCCATTATTAAGTAAACTTAGATATGAATTTATATGAATTTTTACCTGACTCAATCCATGAATTTATTCAACATCTGCTTACAAATAAGAAGTACCCAAACGGAGAGTGCAATAAGATCCCATATATTCTCTTTCTTGGTAGAGAGCTGACAATATGATAGCAAACAAAGGAGCAGGAAATTTGAAAAAGAACAATCCAGAAACAGAATTTACCTCTCGCTGATTTGCACGATATGTGGATATGCCAAATAAATTGAACCTAACATCATTAGCTCGAGAATCCCACTCAAATATCCCAGACCAGTTTTCCTCAGCATTTGAAGCACCTTTAACAGGATATGATGAATCTTTAGATGCTTCAAGTAAAGCTTGCAGTTCAGATTGCCTTTCATATAAACTCTCTTGTTGGTCAAGCAATATCTTAATTTGGTCTGAAAAACGAGACATACGCATAAATCACTGTGTTCTTAATATATAAGAAAAACGTGGACAAACTTCCGTAACTTATTCCAGACAGATCATATCAGATAACATACACTTACTATCTTTTCTATTTTTTAATAGGAATTGTCTATCAGAAAATATTATCCGCATTGATCTACCAAAACATACATTTTAAATCCTCTAATGAGTTAGAAGGCTAAAATACAAATTATCCAATGAATCAAATCAGACACAACGGGAAGAAAAACAATATTAGCAAAATTGAAAAATGAGGTCTTCTAAACCCAAATTTGAATCCCCATTCTCGTAATCTGATGATTTTATGCAAGTGGCCCTTTACCAGAGTGGTGGAAAGGTGTTGATCCCTTGCATGAGGGTGTGGGTTCAAACCCCAGTCGGTGGCTAATCTAAACATGTAATCTAACAAAATCTATCGTTTGACAAAAAAAAAATGAGATGAACCTAACACAGACCAAAAACATCATACATTACAGGGCAGCCTAGCGCACGAGGCTTCGGACATGAGATTTATGGGAATAATAACACCTAATACGTATGCAGCGATACCCCTGTCTCCAGAGAGGCTCCATGACTTGAACAACCAGACACTTGGCACTTAATTCCTCATATAGTGAATTCGTGATTACTCTCCAGAAAATATTGGTTACACTTGCAATTGCATTATAATATAGACTTAACAAATTTACCCAGCTCCAAATAAAGCCAGTCTCTTAAACTAGTACTCAAAATTCGTAAAGATTAATACTTTAATTCCTCATAAACCATTTTCTTTTCTGGTTTATCATAATAATCCTATCGTAAATTAGGTTTCAAAAACTGAAGCATGGAAAGTATCAAATGAAGAAATAAATAATTATTGAAAAAAAGGGAAAAGGAAAACAGAAAGCGGAGAGAGAGAGAGAGAGAAAGAGAGGGGTTGGTTACCTTGGACGCCTTGGATTTCAGCCTCTACGTTTTGCAGCTCTTCTGCTATTATGTCCTCCGTTTCCATGCCAAGCTCCTTACGCGACAGAGAGAGACTCAGAGAGAGGGTGATTCGGAACTGCTGCTTTCACCGCAATGCAGCACAGCGTACGCAATTCCAACGCTAAAAGTTATTACTCTTTCTTTTTTATTCTTTTTTTTTCTAGACACTTAAAAAAAAAAAAAAAATTATTGATTCGGATTCAATTTTGGTGGTTCAGAATTGAACTGAACTGAATTCAGCCGAAACAAACTTCAAGAAAAAACATACAGTATTAGGTACTAATAGAAGATTTTGCCCGAAACCAAGCGCCGTAACGTTCTAGAATTCATACGACAGATTTCATTTGGTGTGACGAGGCTTTGTTATTGTTGTTTATGTTAGTACTCATTTTCCAAGCCCAACTCCAAGTCAATCTTTGGTCAAATTTCAATCCAAGGTTGTAAGCACACTTAAAGGTCCAAATATGCTGAAAGCCTTATTCACTATATTTTTTTTTTTCTTCATTTTCTCTTCAATTTCTAGGTTAACAACAACATAAATAAATAAACTAAAATTGAACCAGACAGAATCGAAATAATTTGGTTTCTAGGTGATCTAGACTATCGTGGTACTTCTCTAATTTCTTTGCATGTTTGTTGTCACCCAAAGCATCTTTCTTGGTGCCTTTAGGTTAAAAGATTTGGCAGTTCTAAATTGCTCATTGATTTTAAAGCGTTCTTGGGATATGGTGAATCTCGCTTCTTGCATAGAGGATTGATTCCTCCTTCCACTTAAAAAAAAATGCTCGGTGTGGATGGGTTTTAAAAAAGGTTCTCTCTATTATCTCTTCACATTTGACTTGGATTGTGGGTGATGGTTCTCAAGTTTTATTTTGGTTTGATAATTGGTTGGGCGGGCCACTTGGATTTCATATCTCGGCATCCCTAATGCACTTGCTTATACTGTCAAAGCCTCGGTGAGCTATTTTATATGCGGTTCTCATTTGGACTTGCCGTAGCATTTCACTACTATTATTTTTCCTGAAGTTGCTGCTTTAATTACAACTACTCCTCTTCTGGTGTTGGCATCTTCTAACTCTTTATGTTGTTCTATCTCTTTTTCTGGTATTCTTATAGCTAAAAAGACTTATTCTCACTTGCTTAACATTGATAGCCAAGTGCTTTGATGGAAAATCATTTGGTCTCATCAGATTTAACCAAAGCAAATCATAACCGTTTGGAAAAGTCTTACATGGTAGTCTCCTGACTGATACGTCAGCTCTTGAGTATCTCCCTCAATTTTTTTTTAGAATGCTTTTGGACTGTTGGTCTTTGGTCTTGGTTGTTGGAGCTTTTTCGTTGTCCTTCTCTAGTGGTACAATCAATGTTACATGTTTTTTGGAAAACATTTCTTAGAACTTTTTCTGGTTGTAATGGAAAACTTTGGATTATAGTGGCACATACTTTTATATGAGCATTTGGTTTCTTCATAATCAAATTAGTTTCATATTAGATGCTAAGTGCTGGCTAGCCGTTCGGTTTTGTGACTCAACTCTATTGTGTTTTTGAAGTGGTAGCTCCTCCTCTTCAATGTTGTCTATTTTCTCAATTTTGGGTATCTCGTTGCTTTCTATTATGGCTCCATCCTTTATTCCAGTTATTTGAAGGTTGCCAAAGGTTGGGTGGTTCAAGGTTAATGTCGATGGGGCTTATGCTAATGAATGTGCCAGATTTTGAGGGATTTTTCGCTCATCGGAGGGTAGGGCATTTGGTGCTTTTGAATCAAACATAAAATTTGTAAGTTCAATTGGTGCAAAAATTCTTACTTTCATTAAGGTTGTGCGTATAACTTGGGTCAAAGATTGGAAACATTTATGGATTTAAACAAATTCCATATTGGTTATTCACTATCTTTTTAAGATTCCTAATGTGTTCCCTTGGTTTATTATGGTGGATTGGAAGAATTGTCTATGATGACTTCGTCAAATGCAATTTATGTGCACACATTTTTATAGAGATGAAAATCAAGTTGCATATCTTTTAGCTTCATTTGGGATAGATAGTTACGCTTATTACTCGTGGTCAACAGTTCCAGATATTGTAGCTTCAACCCATGCTTGTGATATTTCTTTTTGTCCTTATTATCGTTTTCGTTGATCGTTTTGTCTTACGGGTGTTGGCATAGTCCCCTTACTTGTATCGTTTACTTTCGTCATGAATTTATTATCAATAAATTTGGTGGAGGAGAGGTGAACAGGAGGTTTCTGCGGGTAATGGTCCTCACCCTCTCGGAAGATGGTAGGTGTCTCGCACGCGACCATTGCTGAAAAGCTAATCTCACCTAATCTTTCTACATTTGGAAGAAAAAAAAAATTAAGTGAAATGAGGAGGATCTTGGGTAGCAAAGTCTTTCTCCAAAAAAAACATGTTCCACTTTTTTCAAACTTTTTTTAGATATGTACTGTTTTATATGTGAAACACTTATATAACCCTATAATTTTAGTTACATTCAAACTCTTTACCTAATTGAGGATGGTTAGTGCCACCATGAAAATAAGCAGCCTTGTGGACCTCCTCATACGAGATTGAGGCTTCCCGACCCACTTAGAACACCTAAATATTGAAAAAACAAAACTTTACCTAAGTCTCACTTCCCACTGCTCGAGATCCCATCGAGAACAACTCAAGCCAATTTTGACGCCTCTCGAGTATGGTTGATGAATATTTTTGGTGGCTAAATTATGAAAGATAAATAGGTCGTTGACAAACATTATAGATTAATGGAGCGGATACCATGGCGGATCCAATTTTTCCCCAAGAGATCAGTTTGTAAAAGTGTTAAAAAAATTATTGGACAAAAGGTAACACTAAAAATTAAACGATAGTACTTTCATTCAAATTAATTGTAAAATCAAAATTGCAAGCTAAAAGTTTCCATGACTAATTATCAAAATTTGAAACATAGGATTATAGCTTGATGTGTATTCGATTTATCAACTAAAAAACAATCCCTAACAATGAATCTACCAATTAACCAAAGACAAATTCTCTAACAATTAACTAAAATATACCCTTATGTCAACGTGAATCAATATTCATAAAAAAAATAAAAAATGCGACAATTTATTATGGATTTGTTATAATTAGTATTCATTTAGGAATGTGATTGTGTAAACTAGAAGTAGGAATTCCATCGGATTTGGGAGATCAAATCCTTTACAACTTGTATTAGAACAAATAAAGGCACAACATCAGGGGATGAAACACATGAGCCCTTCTGTCTCTCTGTCGTCCCTCTCTCACCCTACTTGAGAATTATTTTACAATACATTTGTTAACATAGTGTGACAACCCATTCCGAAATTTATTATATTTTATTTTGAGTAGGGGAGAAATTATCAAAATGCCCCTAAGATGCCATGTAGGCCTTCCACGTGGACCTCAATTTTCCTTTTACTTTTTCACTGTTATATTACTATTTTCAAATAACACTCATTTTTACGAACATGTGACGCAGACGAAATATGTTGTGCACAAAACTGTGTGAAGTTTATATTTTTATATGGACTGATTTAAATTCAAAACGTTACTTGTGCAGCGCACATCACTACTTTGGTTCAGTTTTCTGATTGGTCTTGTGCGTTATGCTGCATAGGAAACCTAGACTAGCCTCAAAAAGGCTTCCAACAGGGGAGAGGATCTTCTCCGGAGCCGATTCCACCAGAGCCTCTGGATCCTCCACCTTCCTCTTCTTTCTCTGCACTTTTTCGCCCTCCGGAGTCGGCGTCGTGATCCCCCGGAGTGGGCATCGGTCGGAGTCGGCGTCGTGGCCTCCCGGGAGCTAGTTATCGGCAACGTCGTAGTAGTCGTCGCCGATTGTGTGGTTTTGAAGTTTTCCGATAACTAGTTCCAGGGATGCCACAACACTGACTTCGCCCGACGCCTACTCTGGAGGAACAAACATGACGCCGACTTTGGGGGCCAAAAACCTGTAGAGAAAGAAGAGGAAAGAGGAGGATCCGGAGGCTCCGGTGAAACCGACTCCGGAGAGGATCCTCTTCCTTCGAACTGAACAATGTTCTGAAATGATTTCATTTGACAAACAAGTGACCATTTAATATTGTTTTAATTGGGTTTAAAACAAAAAAACTTTAATGAAAAGCTTCTGGTACTGTTCATTTTAATGAAAAACCACATTTTCACACTAAAAAGTCAATCCTAGTACTATTTACTTTACCCTTTATTTTGTCCTTATCTTTAAAACTCAAAATTTTCAAACCATTTTCATTAGTTTTCCTTTTTAAAATTCCATTCTTGTCACCCATCAAATCCACCAGATACCATTTGCCACTACTCTCTTTCTCTCACACGACATCATCTTTCTCTCTACCTATCCACTCAACATTACTCTCACACTCTTCCACATTAACCACATCATTTACACACTCCATCAGATTCATCCTATTAACACTTCACTCATCCTCTCCCATTATTTCTCACGCCTCACATCACTCACTACTCCCTCTCGTTGTACACTTATCTTGCTCACATCTCTACTCTCTACCTCTCCTGTAGCTCCCTCTCTCTCCATTCCCTATTTCTCTCGGCCAAACATAACAAAATCACCACCTCAAAAACTTTATGAAAGCTACAAAAGCATTCTCAGCAACTCCTTAGCCTTGCAACACTTGGAAGAAAACGAAAATTCTGTTTCGAAGCTCGACCAACATCGGTGAAACCATCACTCCTCTGACCATGGTAAGCCTATATTTCTCTCTCAAACTCTCCCTCGAGTTTTTAGTAAGTATTCTTAGCATGCATGCACTTTTTAGTGCATTTGAAGGACAAACTTCCTAACTCTGTTTTTCTGGCGAGTTGTAGGATTTTTCCAAGCTAAACCCAACCAAACCTTGTTGATATGGTTGACTTTGAAGATGTAGGATGACTTCCCATAATCCCTAGGTTATGGGTTTGAGCTTGCATGCTCAAATCCACTTTGAAACCAACGAAAACGAATAACTCCAACTCAGACCGTCACTTTCAAGTCATTTTCCGATGAGGTTCGACCAGCTTTTGCCATTAAAATTGGTATAATCTTATTCCTCTCATCCTAAGCTTCGTTTTGATATATTATAGGTCAAATTTGGTTGTGTAAAGGCTCCAAACGGGGTAGTTGAATTTCTTTCCAAATTTCTGACGAAAATTATGTTCTGAGCAACCTAAAGAAAATTAGGTTTATTACTTCAATTATTATTACTTTAATCATTAGTGTAGTTTCCCATTTAGGAGAGGACCATCCGAAGGTGTACCACGAGCAGAATAGTTGGACCGTTATGACATGCATGTATATGTGAGTGGGTCTTTTCGGACAACTGCTTTTATATACTATGATGTGACATGCCATGTTTAACTTTACAAATAGATTTTTTGTACACTTTATGTTTATAATATTATTTGTGAGTATAACCTTGTGGCATGACACCCTTACATCTTATTTGCGTATTGTTACATGTTTGCACAGTGTCTCTTAGTTATTTGTACTGTCCTAGACTACGGACCAGCTTCGCATGTAGTTTACATGCACCATTTACATTCTCTTTGGATCTAGAGTTAGGTGCCAACATGTCCTTTTGTGTGATGTTTTGGACTCGTATGTGATGCGACTAGCGCATCTCATGTGATGTAGTACTAGAATGTAAAACCTACACCTAGTATGTTCCATTGTCTTAATATCTCTACAATGGACTTGTGTGCCTACATAAATTAATGAGCATTGGTTTCTTGTGATAACGATTTAGATTTGATGTTGAGATATCTTGTTGTTGTACCATACATATTTTGACTCACTTGTGTTGCAGGGTACCTTATTACATACTAGTATTATAATATTTTGAGGAAACCATAAACATGTTCTACAACCCAACTAAAACCTAAAACCAAGGCCAGAGGCTGGTCGTTTTTTCTGGACACAGCTTGGCTGCATGCTAGCTAGCGTGGCTTAGCAAGGCAGCACAGCTCGAAGCCGCAACTCAGCCACAAAATTCTAGAAATTTTTTTTTTTTTTCAAAATTTCTAGGTTTCGAAAAACCCTAATTGCTTCTAATTTCTTTTGATTCTTTGGCTCACAAATTCCACATAGTATGTGACATCCCACATCACCCAGGATAATGATCCTTATATGTATATTCTCATCCCTACCTAGCACAAGGCCTTTTGGGAGCTCACTGGCTTCGGGTTCCACGGGAACTCCGTAGTTAAGCGAGTAGCGCGCGAGAGCAATCCCAGGATGGGTGACCCATCGGGAAGTTTTCTTGTGAGTTCCCAGAAACAAAACCGTGAGGGCGTGGTTGGGGCCCAAAGCGGACAATATAGTGCTATGGTGGAGTTGGGTCCGGGAAGTGGTCCCGCCCCGGGCCGGGATGTGACATAGTATAATTATAGTTGCGTAATGCATGAATATGTGTATGTGTATATATATATATATATATTGACAAATATATGAACATATACAATATATATATATATATGTATATCGGAAGGAAAATATAAATATAAGGGGTTCATGCATCATAGGGAATGTATGTTTTCATGCTTCATGGTCGTTTCAAATATCTTAATTTATTTTTAAAGAACCTGATAGGCATAAAAACAACTGAGCCTTTGAATTTGCAGAAGAACCTCCACCACGAACCTTTAGTTCCTTAGCTTCTGGCAAGAGCATGCTGATAACGTGTTGTAACCCTAATTTATTGAACAATATAAAGGACATAGAGAAGGGGTGCGACAACAATAGAAAGAAAGAGATGTGTAATTGTGAGATGTTTGTTATGTCACCCCATTGGCCTTTATTTATAGTAGTAGTAAGCTAAAATCCTTACCGCAATAAGATTACAACTCTAATAGGATAATATATAACCTAAGAGATATGGTAGAATTCAATAAGGATATCCTAAATATGATAAGATTTACACGATCACATTTTTAATCTAATAGGACTGCAACATAATTTACTTTTTTAAAAATAAAATAAAATTACAAAATAAAAAAAGGGAAAACTTGATATAAGTCCAATTTTTTTAGCCAATAATAGGAATAGTCCAATTTATTAAAATAAGTCTAATTCCTTAAACTTAATTATTTTATTATCAATAATTATCTATTCAATGATAAGATTTATTATAAAAATTGACTATTTTTTATTTTTATTTTTTTTTGTTGCATTTTTATTCTTAAAAAACAATTTACAATTTTTTTGGTAATAAAATCATAATAAAGGCCACGAACTTCTTTACGTGGATGAGGTTGTTTCTTTTGAATATTTATTTGAAAATTTTTTCACTTATTTAATTAAGTTTTTCATTTTTACATTTTAAAAGTTGTAAGATGAAGGGACAGGTTTACATTACGAAGGTTTCATCAAATTTGACTTCTCCCTTGTAATATATAGGTGCAATTAAAAATAGGAGGGAAATGCGAATTTGGCAACTACGATCTCGTTGCGACTTGGATCCCACGCAACCTCATCTACTTGCTCCCCAAGAAAATCTTAAATCGGGTTTTTGAAACGGTGCTAGAATTCTGTTTGAGGTCAATTACAAAATTACCCATGTACCCCTACCATGTGACCTCGACCACATACGCCAATATCCAAGTTGCACCCTAGAAATTTTTTTACATGTTCCGTTAATTTAACACGAAAATAACGGGTTTCAGGTCAACATGTTAAAGAATTGGAACGTTATCGGGTCATCCGTTAAAATTCCACAGGCAACTCGTTTCAACCAATTAAGAAAAGGTTAATTTGATAATTTTAAACTATTTAAAAAACCTTACTACAATAGCCATGGGATTTAGGGCTGGTTTGGTATTGCTGTACTTTGAAAAAAAAACTGTTTCTGCTGTGCTATGAGAATAAACTCATTTTTGCTGCTTCACATTTTCAGCTTTTTTTCACCCAAAACTTTGAAAATAAGTTGTTTTAAGTGTTTACCAAACACTTTTTTTAGCTCAAATTTTTTTTTTTTTTTTTATACCCAAACACCTTTGTTTTAAGTGTAAACTAAATTTATAGACTAAAATTGCAATATCATCAACAAATAAAAAATAATCACGGTAATGAATACTTAAATAATAATCTAATAATCGACTTTCATATCATTTAGTTTACAAAGTATAGTCTACATATTTAGTTTTCCTATCATTATCCCAATTAAAATAGGAGAAATGCCAATTTGGCAAATACGATCTCATCCACGCAACCTCATCATACTTGCTCCCCAAGGAAATCTTAAACCGGATATTTGAAACCGTGTGCTAAGAAATACTGTTTGGGGTCAATTACAAAATTAATGATGTACCCCTAACATATATGACCTCGACCTCGACCTCAACCTCATCTAAGAATATGGATAGTCATGAAGTTGCACCGCACACGACGATAATAAATAAGAATTTTTTTAAACAAACGATACCATTTATATTAACGGGATGAAAGAATGGGCTAAGCTTCACCATTGGTTAACAATAATGTGATTGAAATTTACTTTTGACAAAAATCAAACCTAAGACCATTTGAAGAAGAATATCACTAGATCACAGTACTAGGTGGCAATAGAAATGTAGTTAATTAAGAGAATTGTTATTAGCATTTTAAAATTTTAATAGTGCACTTCATGTGAGATCCCACATCATCCAGGAGAGTGATCCTTATATGTATATTCTCATCTTTACCTAGCACGAGGCCTTTTGGTATCATAGCTTAACCCTGGCCGTGGTGTGCCGACGAGGACGTCGGGCCCCTAAGGGGGTGGATTGTGACATCCCACATCATCCAGGAGATTGATCCTTATATGTATATTCTCATCTTTACCTAGCACGAGGCCTTTTGGGAGCTCATTGGCTTCGGGTTTCGTAGGAACTCCGAAGTTAAGCGAGAAGGGGGCTAGAGCATTCCCATGATGGGTGAACCACTGAGAAGTTGCTCGTGAGTTCCCAAAAAACAAAACAGTGAGGGAATGGTAAGCCCAAAACGGACAATATCGTGCTACGGTGGTGGAGCGGGCCCGGGAAGTGATCCGGCCCGGGTCGGGATGTGACACTTCAAACTTTCTATATTTGGAAAAAAAAAAAAAAAAAAAAAAACTCTTATAAAAATTGCACAATTATTTCTTATTGGTGATACATGATTTAATTTACAAATTTAATCTATTAATTTAATGTTCTTAACATTACCCTTAATATATAAATGAGCCATCTAAATTGAAATCAATGTGTGGCTGTGGCCAGCAAGTTCCAATATTTCAAGGGTACATTAGTCATTACGTGTGAAAATGCATGGTTTGCAAGGCCGTGTTTGGCAAGCGTCCATCAGGATACCTTCTTTTTAGTACAGCCGTGAACAAGAGACGACGTGTCACAATTAGAGCCTTTCATCTCCATCACCTAACGGCTCTACCAGCTCATCAATTGCGTAGGCGACAAGAGAATATCAGTAAATTACCTAATAATCAATTGAGACTTGGGTATATAAACCCTGACACAGATCTCATGAAAAACCATAAACCCTAAACCCTAAAAAATCATCACACACGTACCTCACAAAGTTACAAACAATTAAACAAACAAACGCTAGCTACATCTTCTCTCTTTGTCTACATAATATGATGATGGCGAGCCGAAGACACGCGGCGAACTCGATGGCGGGCACAGTACGGCTGTTCACCACTGCAAGCGCTACCAATAAGTCTCTGATGGCTGCTGCCGGTCATCTTCTTCCTCTGAATTATCTTCATAGCGGTTGTGGTGGTGCCCTAGTCCGGAGTGCTAGCACCAGTGCTGCAACTGTCGACGTGGCTGCAGAGGGTCATAACACTACGGCCCCTTCAACTGCTGGCCACGGCGGTGGTAAGGATGATGAGAAGGGGATCACCAGCTACTGGGGTGTGGGACCCACCAAAGTCACCAATCAAGATGGAACCGAATGGAAGTGGACTTGCTTTAGGGTACGTACGTACGAATTAGTAGTGTTAATTCTCTTTTGCTGCAAAAAAAAAAGAAAAAACATATACATACAAACCATTTTTGTTTGTTTGTTTGTTTAATATTGTGAAATAATAAAAATATTTGATGTTTGATGAAGCCATGGGAGACGTACAAAGCGGACGTCTCGATAGATCTGAAGAAGCATCACGTGCCAACGACTTTGTTGGACAGAATGGCTTACTGGACCGTCAAATCTCTCCGATGGCCTACTGATCTATTCTTCCAGGTATACATGGGGTATATATTTGGTTCTACTACATATATATGATATTCCTTTCAAATAATCAAATAGGTATAAAATCACAATTTCGATGATAAATTTACAAGTTATAAGGGTCAACACTAACTCCATTCCATATAAATTTTGTTCCTTCGGTTTATGCAGAACAAGAAATTTCTTCTCCTTTCTTTCTTTTTTAAAGTTCATCTCGAGTTTATTTTCCTTTTCAAATTGACTGGAATTTTAGTTATCAATCTTCTGTGTACAATCATAGTCACATCTTTTTTTTCTTTTTTTTTTGCAAAAGAGAACGACATAAGTCATATTCTGGTCTAGGAAGAAAAGGAGTTGACGAATGTTTGCACTGCAGAAATTTTTTTGGTTTGCAGAGACTTGAAACGAAAGAGACGAGGGGAGAGAGAAAGAGAGAAAACGTGATGAGGAAATAGAGGGGAGGAGAGAGAAAAACGTTTTCCTTTAATAATTTGTTTAAATCGCTTTGGATTTAATAAAGAAAATTAATTAACTTAATTAGATTACATCTCAACAATTAAAAGTAGAGTAATAATAGGGAGGCTAAATTTGTAGACTAAATTTTGTAAACTAAATGACATAGAAGTTGATGATTGGATTATTACTTAAATGTTGATAAACGTGCTAATTTCTTATTGATGACACATCATTTAGTTTGCAAAATAAGTCTACAAATTTAGTCTCCCTAGCATTACTCTTAAAATTATACAAATTTAATGGTTTAGAACTTGTGTAAAAAATGTGGTGTCACCGTCTTATAGTACCCTAATTGAGAGAATTGACAACAGACTAAAAATAAACAGTAAAGTGGGGTCATCATTTTCCAATTGTTATTGGTACTAAAAGAAAGTCATATTTGCCTCGTTATTTTGTTTTATATATCTTCATTAAAGAGTGACAAATGACTTTTTAGAAATGTAAATAACCTTTTTTCTTTTACGTGAATACTTTCTTGAATGTTTTAATCTCTATTGTGAATACTTGAGGTATATGCATGTCTTTTTCATAATCAATTGTTGTCACAAACATGACATCCCATGTCTGCCTTTTATTTTCCTATTTATCTAATTAGATGATTTCTCGATGAATCAATTTATGTCCAAATAAAATTTGTTTGGCACTTTGTATCATGGTGAATCCGTAAATTTCTTGATTTTATAATAGTAGAGAAAAGATTGCTACAGAAAGTGTGTCAAATAATATAATGCTGGGTGGGTGGGTATATACAATATCAGAGGCGGTATGGGTGCCGAGCAATGATGCTAGAAACAGTGGCAGCAGTTCCCGGAATGGTAGGAGGGATGTTGCTGCACTGCAAGTCCCTACGGCGGTTCGAGCACAGCGGAGGGTGGATCAAAGCTCTGCTGGAAGAAGCCGAGAACGAGCGAATGCACCTCATGACATTCATGGAAGTAGCCAACCCTAAGTGGTACGAGCGTGCCCTCGTCTTTGCGGTTCAAGGCGTCTTCTTCAACGCCTACTTCGTAGGGTATATGGCTTCCCCGAAATTCGCTCATCGAATGGTTGGGTACCTTGAGGAGGAAGCAATCCACTCGTACACTGAGTTCCTCAAGGAGCTGGATAAAGGGAACATAGAGAATGTGCCAGCTCCGGCGATTGCCATTGATTACTGGCAGCTGCCACCTGACTCGACTCTGAGAGACGTTGTCACGGTTGTTAGGGCGGATGAGGCACACCACCGCGATGTCAATCACTTTGCATCGGTAATAGGGATTAACTTGTTTAAATCAATTCGGTTGTTCTTGCTTGATTAGTTTCAAATTGGTGTTTAATATCCTTATATGTGCCTTGAACTGCAGGATATACACTACAAGGGACAGCAACTGAGGGAATCACCAGCTCCAATTGGTTATCACTGATGAAATTGCACTGTTTTGCTTTATTACAATGAACAACTTCAGAATCCCAAATTTCACATGAAAATGTAGTATCAAGATGCACTTCTCCAATCGACACTCTGTACCGCAAAGTTCAGACATTTTTTATTTACTAGTTTGGAATTGGTAAATGCAAATGAGTTGGATGAAGATGACTAACTATTCTACGGGAGTGTCACAACCTCGTACTCGTGGGCAATTCTGAGAGGTGATTGCTTAGAAACCGGCCTGTCCTCGGACCACAGCTCCAAATTAACAGTTCCAGTTCCCCAGTGGATTAGGCACTTGTAAACTTGGCTAACGTCAAAGCGATTCACAAGCCCCAACCCAACGCATTTATCCATGAGCATCCATTCACCTGTCCAAAAATAACGACGAATTTTTTTTTTTATCAGAGGTAAGTTACAGCAATTCATGATAGAACTCCGAGAAGAGTGAACTCAAAACTTTTCAAAAATGATTATTGTAATCCTTTTGCTCCACTTTCTGAAACCTAGGACCGACTACAAAGTTGCACCGTGTCCTCAGAGCATGGTGGAATATCGAATCCCATGGTGTGGTATGAGTTTCATGTTGCCTCTTTCCAATAGTCTAATCTTTCGGTTTCAGGACAATCCTTGTCAGAGTAAAAACCTTAATAACCTAAATGTTTTTATGAATGTAATGACATAGAAAGCAAGAGGAAAAAGGAACAAGAAATGCAAAATTGTCTTCACTTCTCCTCCAGTCACGTTGAGATCCTATGTTCTTAAACTAGGCAATAAAGTTCGAATGTCACTTTGTAATGAAGGTAAAAACACTGCAAGAAAGATATCATTACCATTAGGCAGTAAATCCCCTTGAAACAACTGCTCATCGGATTCAGGCCAAATTTCATGCTTTGACCCATCGATAGCTGTAAATGAGACATAAGATTCTGTAGGGTGCAAGAGGGTGAACGTTGGGTGTACTCTCAGGCAGACCAGCCTGCAAAGAAAAAATTACAAAACAAATTATGCACGTGTATATAACTTATATATTGTTTTTATTTTTAAAAGGACACCAAATTTTATTGCAAATGACGATAAATTAAAGGGCACACAACTAAGAGGGGACAATGTATACAACGTTTTTACTGGTTATATGTTTGTGTGTGATTAGAGATAAAAGAAAAGGGATCGGAAATTGTAATTTGGAACAAACCTTGAATATCCACCAGAACCAGCACCAACTTTGCATGCTATAATGCTAGAGTCAATTCGGAAAACCTTGGGATCATTCTTTGGAATATTTAACTGTCGTTGGAGAACCAAACCACCCCCAATATCACCTTCTAACAGAATAGATTCCTCCTCTCCAGCATGCTCAAGATTCCGTCTGCAGAGAGATTTGAGAGAATAAAATGAAGCTACAAGAACTATGAAAATGTACTTTAGGTTCGATATACAGATTGTGGATTCCTAACCACTGAGAATACATACATGCACATTTGTCCTTATATATGTATATTACCCTACCCAAAAAAAAAGGGATCCTTCACGAAGATTCAATGTGGCTCAAACTCTCACATATTTTGCAATGAAAATAGAATGACGTATTAATTGATGGAAACTAGATAAAACACAATACTATGAAGTGAGGTGTAAAGTTGTGGTTGCACCCCTTCTTTTTTGCCTAACCCAAGAGCTGTCTAGGATAAAAACGACCTAAGAGTCAGTATATTTACTCTAAAATATTTTAAATTCCTACTGGTTGACAAAATCTTCAAAACCCAATGGGATGTTTGAGGCTCAAAACTAAAGGATTATTTACATGAAAAACTTTCTAGTTTGACTACAAGAATGTCTTTGGGAACTAAAGATACTAATGGCATAATGATTAAGCCTATTGGCTAAAAACCCCAATATTTTATTTCAGAAACTCACTCTGTAACATTGTATTCCTCAGTACATCCAGCAGAGCGGTACTCAGTACCACTATACTCTTCATACCCATTAATGTCAACTCTACTGTGAAGCCACTGTGTCCCTGCAATCACCACATGAAAGTATCAATCATAGGAGTATCACTAAAACAAAATTTAGTCTATTCAGCCTTATCACCCAAAAAAGGGAAAGAAAATGGCTTAAAGTCTGGGCATGTTTAGAAATTTCTTTGATAGATATCGCCTTCATGTAACAGAATAGACTCATGGTAGCTAAAAATCTCAGTCATTGCCAAACTACAAAATACATAGCAAACCTCATCCCTCACTTCAATATTTATCACTTCATGACTAACCCTCGTGCTCAAAATTTCCTAGCCTTTTGAGGCTATGGATCAAAATTATAGGGTGGCTGATATGGTAGAGGTTTGTGCAGAACAAGAAAATTGGACTTTTTGGTTTTTTTGAAGAAATTTATGTGAACATAAGAGATTGAGGAGTTTGCCAAACTAGGGATTGTTTTGGAGAATATTCAGGTTTCAGCACATAGTCCACACTAGGAGTTTGCCACATTAGGGATTGTAACTTGTAAGATATTTTTAATTCTCCATGTAATAACTGAAAGTAGTCCCTTGCTGTGTTCCAGCCTGCTAAAATGATTTGAAAGTCCGCTCCTAAAGTTCGCCTTTTAGCATGAATCGTATCTCATAGAAGAGCAAACACTTGTAATTAGCTACAAACAAGAAGACCCAATATTTATCTTTCTCCTCATTGGTGTTATTAGTGCAAAAAAAGAGGCTCATTTTAAACTCACTTAGTTTTACATTCTCTATGTTCTTTGGGGCTGTGGTGGCTGTTGGTTGAGGTTGCAGGGATTACTTGGGCTAAATTCTTAATTCATTCTTAAACATTCATTGTGAAAAGTATGTCTTTTGGTGGTGGAAAACTAGTATTTCGTGGAATCGTGCACTGGTAGCTGTTTCTTGGGTAATTTTGTTGGACAGAAAAATAAATCTATTTGATAACTACAGTGGAGTGAAGTATGATATCCACCATGAGTAAATGAATATTGGACAATGGTTTATTCATAAGTTCAATATATTAAGCGACCATATAAATAAAATACATTCTACATATATTAATAAATAAAAGATAATCGTAAAAGTACTACCTGAAGGACGGTGCATCATGGAAATAATTCTACCACCAATCCAGGGAACGACTTTAATATCCCAATCACCACCTTTCAGTTCAATAGGAATCCTTGAAAGTTCTATTCCTTTGTGCGCAGAAGTCACTTCCACATCTGGAATAGGCTTGGCAGTTTCTACATTAACAATTTAAGATGCATTAGTCAGGAGCACTGTCACTGATACATCCATTAATCAGGAACATCCCAATTTCAGTCTGCTCACTGATCGGGACCATCCATTTTTCAGGTCCTGTACTAAGGATCATCCTTGCCCTTGCTTTATGAAATCCTGATGGTTACATGAGGCCTACTTCATGCAATCTATTTAGACAGTTTCAGAGAAGCTAATTATAGCTGAAAACTAAGTGGCAATAGCAAAACTTTAGCTACACGTTGAGGATAATATGAAACCGAATAAAGTATGAATAGAAGTGTTACCCAAACGAGTTCGGTATTGCTTCTCACTAGTGGAAACCAGCTTCCCAACTTCCTGTTCTAAAGGCATTACAATTTGAAGAACCTCTCCATCATTGCCCCATGTATCAACCTGTTTGAGGGATTCAGGATTGATATGGTACTTTATTAGCACAAGATAGTTTCAGACACCTAATTGGTATACCTCCAGAAAAGAAGCCATACCATTGCCCCTCCACCAAGCAATAATTGAACATGCAGCCGACGTTTTGGCCTCTTCCAAGATCCTTCAGTTTTTAAAACTTTAACAGTAACAGTAGAAGATTGAAGTTCAGCAACATAGTGTGTCAACAAGAATCCCCCATTCATGAACTCGTATCCATCACCATCATCTTCGTATAGAACACCTTTAGCTTTCCCTGTAAATAATGAGATCATTCATAAAGCTTCTAAGTGCAAAGTTTTGACTACAAATGTTGAAAAACAAAACCTAATTGTAATTCTTTCCTAATAAGAACAACTGGTTTTATTAAGAAAAACGCGAAGAACTGCAAAACACATGGATTATGGACTCCTCTTCATGTTGTCAAGGCCTTAGAGCTATCTCCAATTGAAATTTTTTATGGTTCTAGTGAACATAATTTTTATTCAAGAAGAGATACAACTTTTGATCAATTAGTTAGGCAAGATTTTCAAAATTAGGTTGTCCTAATCAATCCTTCTGGGTTCAACCTCATACTTTCTTATGCATATTATAATAGATAGGTACAACCAAGTATGATAAATCATTTGACCTCAAGTACGGCAAGACCACTAAAACTTGAAACTGTTGAACGTTAATAAATAACAACCAAACAATCCAATTTTTTTCGGGAGGAAATTGACAGAACACAATTACCTTCTTCATCTAAAGCCACAAGGAGTGTCAAATCTTCTAATTGATTAGATTCGCCAAGATGCTGATGAGGAGGACCCACGGGAATAATTGCTCCACCTTGCAAATATAAAGCTGGTAAATCCTGCAATAACCAGAAGAGAATGAAAAGAGAAACAAAGAAATGAGGTGGCATGTAAATATTAAGACAAAATTGGAAACTTAAAACATATCAATATGTACGGTAATACATACTGGATGTGAATCACCAAAATCAAAACTCAACCAAATTCCTTTGGGCAATGTGAACTGCAAACTATCCATCCCCTGACCAGGCTCAGTGCTGACCATGAAAAAAAGGATGTCAGAACAAAATGTGAGGATCATTTCTAATCAATGAAATTCCAAAACTGAATCTCCTCTACACCATCCATGAGTTAAATTTAACCAGAAAGCATTCACGCAATGGGTTCAGAGGGAACAGTAACAAATATATAACTTTTTGTATATTTCCGAATGATGGAAGCAAACTATAAGGTGGAAATAAAAAGTCAGGAACACAAGAGTGATAGAATCACATCCAACTGAAGCAGGAAAGGAAGTAATACTAAATTCTAAACAAGATCTTTGGTAAACTCAGGTCATAGTTCTCACAACAGAAAATAAACAATTTAGAAAAGATATTGCAAGCACAATGACTATTGCATGATGCATATAAATGTATTGCATGAGGCATCTGTTCTGAAAAATTGTTTTTCTAAATAAAT